GCCATTCTGCTTGGCTTACAAATGGCTCCCTTCTCCCTATGACCTCACATGGTCTTTCCTCTGTGTGCTTTCATGCCCCTAGTGTCTCTCTATGTGTCCAATTTTCTTCTTCTTTTTATAAGGACACTTCTTAAAATCTCCTCATATGAAGATTGGATTGGATTAGAGTATACCCCAATGTCTCATTCTAAATTAATCACCTCTTTAAAGTGACCAAGCTTAATCACTTGAATATGTGATTAAATACAGTCACATTCTGAAGTACTGGGGGTTAGGATTCCAACATCTGAATTTTAGGGGGATGCTATTCAGCCCATAGCAAGCTGTCTAAGAGATGGCATGATATTAGGGAATTGCCAGACCAAAAGCTGGAAAGCCAGGATCCAGGGACATGATATGACTTGGAAGATGCCTTTGCTGAGGGTATTTACCTAACTGGAAAATTATAATTTTTCACTTCAGAGAAGAAAAAATAAATAAAATACATTGTGTGGAGAGTGAAACAGAAGACCCTCTGTATAATAACTGGGACCCCAAAGGGCTATACACTCAGGAGAAGAATGAATTGGAAGTGGAACAGCTTCAGGGGAATTTACAGGCTAGGGTCAAATTGCCTGTCCAAGTATTGATTTTGGTTTAAGGTGGGCTCTGACTGAGATGCTATCAGATGCCTGGCAAAAACAAATACAAATCCTCTCTGGAGGAAAGCATTATAATTATAGGCCTTAGATTGTTCCTACATGTAAGTTTTTGTAGAAATGGTGAGTACAGAGTTAAAGATAAGCTGGTACACAGGGAAACTAGACTCCTAGTGAGTATTTCAGCAGAAACACAAACAACAGAAATAGACCTACAAAGACAACTGCTTTTGGAATTACCAGATGCAAAGTATAAAACAATTTATGTTTTCTTTGTATAAAGAAATAAAAGATAACTCAGACAGTTTTGGCAGATACCTGGAAACTATAAAAAGTGATACAACATATTTTTTAAAAACTAAATAGAAACTCTATGACAAAGAAATACAGTAACAAAATTAAGAATTCATTGAATGCATATAATGGCAGATTAGACATAGATGAATAGAGAATAAATGAAATGGAAGGTAGGTCAGAAGAGATTATCTAGAATGAAGCATTAAGAAACAAAAGGATGAAATATATAGAAGAGAGAATAAGAGACATAGATGTTACAGTGAAAAGATCTAGCATAAGTTTAAGAGGAGAGACAGAGACAGTATTTGAAGAGATAATGGCTAAATATTTTTTAATACCTGTGAAAGCAAACAGATCACAGATTTAAGAAGCCAAATAACTCTCTAATGAGTTAAATAAAGAGAAATCTACACCTAGACACATCATAGTGAAACTGAAAAAAACTAAAGACAAAGAGAAAATCTTAAAAGTGTCTGTGGTAGTTTTAAAATATGCCCATTCCTTCCTCCCTCTTCCCTTGAATGTGAGTCAGACTAACTTCTAAAGAATAAAATGTGGGATTCCCTGGCAGTCCAGTGATTAAGACTCCATGCTTCCACTGGAGGGGGCGTGGGTTAGATCCCTGGTCTTGGAACTAAGATCCCACATGCCATGCAGAGTGGCAAAAAAAAAAAAAAAAGAGTGGAATGTGGTGGAAGTGACAGTATGTGATTTCAGAAGTTAAGTCACAAAAGATTGCCACTTCTGCTTTGCACACTCTTTGACTTCTTGCTCTGAGGAACTTGCCAGCCATTTGAGTTAGCTATCTTGGAAGTGTATCCTTTAGCCCCAACCAAGCCTTCGGATGACTCCAATCTCAGCTGACATCTTACTGCAACTTCATATTGACTGAATTCTGAGCCAGAACCTCCCAACTAAGCAGCCTCTGAATTACTGACTCATTAAAAAATGTGAGATTAAAAAATGTTTATTTTTTTAAGCCATTAAGTTTTGGAGTTACTTATTATGCAGATATTCCTAATTAATACAGTGGCAAATTTTGATAACTAGCACAAGCAGCATTGTGACAGCTAACTTATCATCTGTGATAATGGAAGCCAGAAGACAGTGGGATGAAATCTTCAGTGTGTTGTGAGGAAATAATTGACAACACAGAATTCAATGCAGAACTTTAAAAAAATCTTTCAAGAATAAAGGAGAAATAAAGACATTTTCAGACCAAAAAAATGAGAGAGTTTGCCACCAACAGACTACATTAAAGAAAAATTTTCAAGGCTGAACTTTAGGCAGAAAGAAAATGATTCCAGACAAAAGAACAAAAATGTAAAAAGGAAGAAAGAAAAAAAAATATGTGACTATAAAGGAGCATTAATGATGTAGAGTAAAAATCTTAATAATTTGTGAGGTTAAAAAAATAGATTTGGAGATACAGGGATATATGTATATGTATAGCTGATTCACTTTGTTATAAAGCAGAAACTAACACACCATTGTAAAGCAATTATACTCCAGTAAAGATGTTTAAAGAAAAAGATTTAATATCCAAAAACAACAGCATAGAGATTGGGAAGAGGGTGAATTGAGTTAAAGTATTCTAAGTTAAAGTGTTATAGTTAAAGTGCTCTAAGGACTACTGTAGACAAGAGTAGAGGTATTCATTAACATACATTCTAATAAGTAGAAAATGTATATTGTTAGCCAGTAGACTTATATTACTGAATGTGAAAACCTATTATAAAGTTATAGTATCAGTAATTAAGACAATGAGGTAGGTATTGTGCAAGAATAGATAAACTGACAAAGGAACAAGAGTCCAAATTCAGACCTACATATAGACCATCACCTGATTTAGAAAAAGGGTGGAGGAAAAGAAGGTCTTTTAAATAAGTTGCTGATGGGCCAGTTGGACCTTTATATTGACCTCTACTTTACAACATAAACAAAAATCATTCCTAATGGATTTCAAATCTAATGTGATAGATAAAACAAAATTTTTTAGAAGAAAGTAGGAGAGTATTTTTACAACCTTGAAATGGGCATAGATTTATTACATGGAATAAAAAGTGCTAAACATAAAGGACAAAATTAATAAGTTAACCCAGATTAAAATCAAGGACCAGAGATTTCAGGTATTTTTGGTGAGGGTATAAATTGGTACAACTATTTCAGAAAAGCATTTGGTAGTAGCATTTACTGAAGCTGAACATTATGATCCAGCAATCCTATCCTTTGTTATATAACCAACAGAAATGGATACATGTATTTACCAAAAGACATATACTAGAATGTTCATAGAACATTCTTTATATTAATCCCAAACTGGAAACCACCCAATGCCCATCAGCAGTGGACTGAGCAAATAAATATTGCTATATCATACAATAGAGTACACACAGCAATGAAAATAGAGACTAGAACTACACACAATATTGATGAATCTCACAAATATAGTATTGAGCAAAAGAAGCCAGATACAAAAGAATACATGTAATTCTATTTAAATAAAGTACAAAAACAGGTGAAATTAACCTATGGTGTTAGAAGTTACCTTTTAGAGGATAGTGACTGGAAGAGAGCACTGCTTCTGGACGGCTATAATTTGTTCTTAACCTATGAGCTGGTTACACAGATGTGTTTAACATTTTGAAAACTCATTAAGATATTTATCTCTATATATGCACTTTTCTGTATGAGTATCATAATTTAATAAAGTTTCTAAAAAATGCATGTTGCAAAGCAGAAATAGACACACAGACGTAAAGAACAAATGTATGGATACCAAGGGGGAAAGGGGTGGGGTGGGAGGAATTGGGAGATTGGGATTGACACATATACACTATTGACACTATGTATAAAATAGACAACTGAGGGGAACCTACTGTATAGCACAGGGAACTCTACTTAATGCACTGTGGTGTCCTAAATGGGAGGGAAATCCAAAAGGGAAGGGATATATGTATATGAATGGCTGATTCATTTTGCTGTGCAGTAGAAGCTAACACAACATTGTAACGCAACTATGCTCCAATAAAACTTAGTTTAAAAATTAAAAAAAAAAGCATGTTGTAACATTCAGTGTAACCACTAAAAGAACAGAAGTAGAATATCTAACTTCAAACCTAGTAAAGAGGGGGAAAGAAGTGATAATGTATAATCAACCCAAAAGAGAACAGCTATAAGTGGGGAGCTATTTTATACAGGGTAACTCAGGAAGATTCCTCTGATGAGATGCTATTTGACCAGAGACCTGAAAGAAGTCAGGAAATGAACCACATTTATATCTGGAGAAAGAGCATCTTAGAGAAGGCGAAGGCCCTGAGGTGGGAGCAGGGATGGGCATATGTATGGACCAGCAAGAAATGCTGTATTGCTTGAGGCAAATCATAGTAAGAACATAAGTCATATGGGTACTATCTGGAGAATAAACTGTAGGGGATGCAAGTGTGCAATAACCCATTGTGAAAGAAAATAGTGAACTAAATTAAGTGGCAGCAGTGGAGGTGATGAGAAAAGATATATTTTGAAGATAGAGCCAACAGAATTTTCTGAGGGATTGAGGAGTCAAGATGATTCTGATTGGGCAATTGGATGCTCCCATTTACTGAGACAGGAAATACTGGAAACAGAGCAGGTTCAGAAACGGACTTGTTAAATTTGAGATGCCTAATACACATCCAAGAGTCAATTATGCACTTGGAAGTAAGAGTCTGAAGTGCTGTTTGGGGTCAGAAACATGAATTTGGGTGTGCAGTGATCTGAATGTGTCCCCTCCAAATTCATATATTGAAATCCAAAATACCCAATTGACAGTAGTTAAGAGGTGGGGCATTGGGAGGCACTTAGGTCAGGGGGGTGGAACCCTCATGAATGAGATTAGTGACCTTAAAAAAGAGCCCACTGGGCTCCCTAGCTCCTTCCACCATGTGAGAACACAGGGAGAAGTCGGTAGTCTGCAACCCAGAAGAGGGCTTTCACCAGAACCTGACCATGCTGCTATCCTGATCTTGGACTTTCAGCCTCCAAAATTGTGAGCAATAAATTTGTGCTATTTATAAGCCACCCAGTCTATGATATTTTTCTTACAGCAACCGGAACAGACTAAGGGTCCGTTAGTAACAGACCGTTAGTAACGGCGGGAGAGGGAAAGGGAGTTTGTTCTCTGGCGTCTCTTCTTTTAAGGGCACTAATTCCATCATGAAGGTCACTCTCATGACCTCATCTAACCCTAAGTACCTTCCAAAAGCTCTTCTCCAGATACAATCACATTGGGTGCTAGGGCTTCAACATACATATTTTGAAAAGAAACTTTTAGAAAAATAAAGGTAAATAGAGGAAACTTACCTGTGTTTTGAAATCAACTACATATATTTTCATTAAAATGTCTCATCAGAGAAATTAAAAGACACGTGAATGTCACACACAGCCCAGCTCCTGTCCCAGCAGTTTAACCCATCCAGCATTTCAACTGCTTAGCTGTGCAACCTTGGGCATATCATTTATCCCCTCAGATCTTCAGTGTCTTCATTTATAAAATGGGGGATAATAATAGTATCCATTTCATAGGAATGATGCCATTTAAATAAGGTCATCTCTGTAGATGTACAGAGTGTGTTTGGCACAATCAGTTGAAAGAGGATGACAAACAATGAGGGGTATTTGGATAATTGACTAGAAATTTGGAAAGCAGAAGCATTTAGATCCTCAGTTGCATCAGATGTAAAAACACAAACTCAAAATATAGGAAATAACCTTTTCAGTGATACCAAGACTAACAATAGTCATACAAATAAATTATATATGAAGGGATGAGTTAAACTGGAGTGGGGGGCTGTTGAAGGGGTGGAGCCTGCCTTCCCCCGGGAGAGGGGCTGCGCATGCCACCATTCAGTCTCCATTTCAGCCCTGTTTCTTACCCCTGTCTCTTCTGTGTCTGGTGTCTCTGATTCCAGAGCAAATTGTCCTTCTCCAGAGAATAAACTCTAGTCTCCTTTGGGATGAAGGAAGGTGGTAATGTAAACTCTTTTACAAAAACAAAGATAAAGTCATGTAGTTAATCAGCCCTACTTAACTGCATTTTAAACAAATTAACTTAAAAATACCCTTCTATCTTAAAAGTATGTCAGTTATGATTCACCATTCTTAGAGGCTTATAAATTCTGATCCATTTGCAAAGAAAAAAAAGGAAACGGAAAGGTTTCCTCACCTATAAAATCTAGGTGAGACAGTATAGGAACTGCCTTTCTCTACTGTCATCATAGATATGTAATTCAATTCAGTTCAAATCAAAGCAATTCAACAAATATTTCTTGAGTCCCTACTGTGTGCCAGGCACTATTCTAGGCACTTATGATACACTGGCAAACAAAACAGATCCTGCTCTCATGGAACTTACATATTAGTAAGGGGAGACAATAGTAAATAATAAGCATAGTAAATATGTAAATTATCTAGTATGTTAGGTGATATGTGATATGGACAAAGAAAGAACAGAACAAATTAAGGGGGGGTTGGAAATATTGAAGTTAGGGGGTAAGGGACAGGTTGCAGTATTAAGTAGCATGGTCAGAACAGGCTTTAGTGAAAAGGCAACATTGAGCAAAGATGAGAAGGGAAGGGTAGGATGTCTGAAGGAACAGCTAGTGCAAAGGCTCAATGGCAGGAAGAGGATGGAGTTCAGAAGAAAGGTCTAAGCTGGGGACGTGAATTTGGCAATTAAACAGAGATAGTATTTTAAGCTATAAGACATTATATGAGATCACTGAGGCAGGGACTCACTGAGGCAGAGAAAAGTGATGGTCATGCCTTTCACTAAAAGAAGCAATCAGAGAAACCCAAATTCTTGGGAAATCTAAGACCATGGAAACATGGACAAACATATATAAGGAACAGTGAGCATCCTCACTCTGTCCTCTGCCCCTCAAAGTCATACAGGACCTAAGAGTTAGAAGCCAGTTGTTTTTTGTTTTTCTAAAGTAAATATACTAATAGAAAATATCTAGAGATAATGGTATATATTCTGGATTAACAGCTTTACTTTTGATAGTTCACACAATGCTCAGGCAGTTGAATTGTTTGTTCTTCCATTTAAGAGTAAGAAGTTGAACTTGACCAATCTTCAATTATGTTTGGAAGGATGCAGTATTTGTAAATACAGTGAAGTACTATGAATCAACTCCTCCACTTCTTCTCTCATACTTTCCTGCCTCAGTTTGGCCCATGGTCACTTTCTCCCTGGTCCTCTTTGGTGGGTCTCTAGATGTGTTTTTCTGGGGCTATCTCAAAGACCCTCCCACTCAGCAGAAAGCACATTTTTGAATCTAATACTGTACATTTGGCAAATGGAAAGTCAAAAACAATTAAAATGGCAGCCACCAATCTTAATATGTCTATCTTCAAAAAAACATCAATATGTATTAAGGAATTATGGCTTAATTTTCTTACCTGTAATAATGGCATTGCAGTTAAGTCTTAACAGAGTGGTGGTTACCTTTTAGAGATACATCTCAAAGCACTTGTGGATGAACAAGAAAGCATCATTATGAACTAAAGTCTGCATAAATATCTCCATAAATAATTCCTAGGTTTCCACAATAGCATCATAATTGTGATTTAAAAAAATTTTTTTTGCAACAAAATACCAAAGGAATTGGTAAGGAAATAAGATTTTTGGCATAGATATAAACAAACATATAAATTTGACATTAAATGACAGTCCATTGTCAGTATTAATCATTTTACATACTCTATAGCAGGAGTGGCAAACTACAACCCTCGAGCTAAATGCAACTCAAATTTGTCTTTTAAATAAAGTTTATTGGAACACAGCTACACCCATTCATTTGTCAGTGGTTCTCAAGTAGGAACTACCTTGCCCTCCAGGGGACATCTAGCAATGTCTGGGGAAAGTTTTGGTCATCACAATGGATGAGGGGACTACTGGCATCCAGTGGCCAGGGATGCTGCTAAACACCCTACGATGCACAGGATGGCTGCCCATAACAAAGTATCTGGCCCCCAAATATCAGCAGCACCAAGATTGAGATACCCTGATTTATATATTGCCTCTGGATGCTTTTGCACTAAAATGGTAGAGTTGAGTAGTTCTGACAGAGGCCATATGGCCTACAACACCTAACATATTTACTATCTGGCCCTTTATAGAAAAAGTTTGCCAATTCCTCTTTATAGAAAACCATAAAATATAAGTATCTCATGTATAGCACATTATCTATCAAGTCTAGAAAAATCCCTTTAACATTATTTCTTCTAGAAATGAGACAACTGACATTTTTATTTATACCTCTTCTAGCCATATAAAGAGCTATAGTAAAGATTATATTTTATTCTGATTCATTAAAGGGATATTTAAAACAGTGACTCTCAAAGCCAATCACAGATCACTGGCCTGTTGTGATGATTTCACTGGCCCACAGTGAAATGAGAAAAATAAAGACAAATTTGGGAGATTTTCATAAAGCTAAGTTAATTCAAATGTAAAGGGCTGTTCTCTATGAATATATCCTTCCTGTATTTTTAAATATTAAAATGCCCTTTCTTTTCTGAAACAATGCAGATAATAGGTAGTGCTTTTTTTAATATGGCAAAATTAATAGTTGTAACATTGGGTCAAACCATTAAAAAATAATTATTGGTTCTTGAAATCCAAAAGTCAGAAAACCATAGATTTAGAGGTTTTTGCTCCGATTTGGGGATTCTTTGATGTTGAACATATTTCACATATCATTGCTGAAGGTATTTCTTAAATGTGTTTTGCAATGTCGAATGAGTGATGAACTACAGCTGAAGGCTTTTCCACATTCATTACAATCATATGGTTTTTCTCCAGTATGAATTCTCTGATGTTTAGCAAAGGATGAATCATGCCTGAAGGCTTTCCCACAATGACTGCATTTATAAGGTTTCACTCCAGTATGGACTCTTTGATGGATAGAAAGATGTATTCTCTGGCTAAAGGCTTTCCCACATTCCTTACATTTATATGGTCTTTCCCCAGTATGAGTTCTCTGGTGTTGAGTTAGGTATGTGCTGTGGCTGAAGGTTTTACTGCATACATTACAAACATAGGGTTTCACACCAGTATGAATAATCTCATGTTGCCTGAGGTGTCTAATCTGGAAAAATGCTTTTCCACAGTCTTTGCATGTAAAAGGTTTCTCTCTGACATGAGTTCTCAGATGCTGGATCAGCCCAATGCTCTGGCTGAATGCTTTCTCACATACACCACATTCATAGGGTTTCTCCCCAGTATGAATTCTAACATGTTGAGTAAGAGATGATGGATGTCTGAAGGTTTTCCCACATTCTTTACACTCATAGGGTTTCTCACCAGTATGGATTCTCTGATGTGGAATAAGGGATGAACTTTGGCTAAAGGCTTTTCCACATTCTTTACACCTGAAAGGTTTCTCTCCAGTATGAATTCTCATGTGTTCTGTAAGATGAATGAGCTGTTTGAAGATTTTTTCACAAATATTACATTCAAAGGTTTTCATTCTTGTATAATTCCTTGAGTGATTAATCAAACCTAAATTGTATCTACTTTTCCTTCTAGATATGTCATATTTATGGTGTCTTTTTCTTGGAGGATCTATTGGTCCTGGAATAACTTTTGAGTACACATTAATACTTTTCACACATCTGTTAGATTCTTGGCCTCTCTCCTGTGTGAGTGTTTTCTTGTGGATCAAGGGGATTTGCCCTGCACCCATTCCTTGGTTCTCCTCGTGGTTTTCTAACTTATGACATTTGGAGTCCCTTCCAAATGTGGAAACCAAGGTGCTTCCTCTTGTGGACCTTTCCATCATCAGGTCATGGTGTAATTCTTCCCATGAGATGTCATTCTTTAAGATTGACTCTTTGGTTTCTGTTTCATCCTCCAAGTCTGAAAGAAATCCAAAAATATAAATAACTCATATTCACTGAACTTTAAAAAATAAATGGCCACAGTGAGAACAGGCGGGAAAAAAATATATATATACTAGGTACAGGAGGGTTGGACTGTCTTCAAATAGGATCCTGCCACCTAGAGAGCTGATGTGAAAGTAACAAGGTGGTCAACACAAAGAAGCTGTTAAAAGTATGTAAGGTGACTTTAAAAATTGGGAGGAGTTCATCCATGAGAATTGCAAGAGGAAATGGACTAAGATGAAAGCATCACTGGAAGGGCAAATATCAGAGATAAGACAAGGAGATAAGAATTCTAACATAATATCATCTCGAGCTTATATTTCTATGACAAAATTTTATTTACTTAGAAAAATTTAAGTATCTCATACTCTGTGCATGTTAAAATGAAACATCAAATAATATAGAAATGCATTCACTGAAAAAGGATAGCCTCTCTCAATCTCATCCCCATTTCCTTTAATCTCTTAGGATTTTGGAATGCATCTGTTCAGACATTTCTCAATAATATACACATGTGAATGTGTGCATTTGTGTATATATGGTCATAAATATACATTTCTACCCAAAAAAGGGGACCATAGAATACATATAGTTCAGCATCTGGGTTTTTTTTAAGCTCAATTATATGTCTGTACATTTAGATTTATCTCATTCTTATTAACAATTGTACTATATTCTACTTACAAACATATTTGTTTGACTTTACTAAAAAATATTTAGGTTGTCTCTGATTTTTCACTTTGTCATTATATGTAAGTTTGTGTACACTCCTGTCAATGTTTCATAGGATTTACTAAAAAGAAAGTATTGGGTATGAGTATGTGGGCTATCACTGAATATGGGTGCCCCTCCCTGCAAACTCACTGGATTTTTATCAATCTTCATGATTTCTGCCTACATAAGAGGTGAAAAATGATTTCTTAATTTGTGACAAAACATTAATTACACTGTAAACTCTTAAAAGATAGAGAATATGTATTTTATCCATAGTATATATGACACAGCATTTTTGGATGAGGGAGTTTCCTGGATTTTTACTCTCTATTCCTATCCAACCATTCTGGACCCTGTCATCCTAAAGCACCAACATTTCCAGTTCATGGCAAAATCTTAGTCCCCAGAATGTCTAACCTCATTTTAGTAATAGCACATACAAAGTACTTGGTAATAGCTGAATAAATTTTGGAGTGGACTCAAAAAGCAAGTAGAGATGTTTGGATTACTTACTACAGGGAATAAGAAGGCACTTAACTTTTCTTTTTAGGGTAAAAAAAAGATAAATGTGATATTTCAAGTGGTCAAATCTGGCAGTAACATTCAAAATGATTCAGAAAGAAAAGGAAGACATCAACAAATGCAACTAGAAATTATAGTAATTGGCATGGGATGATGGGAACCTGGCTTAGCAAGGTCAACAGAGATGAAGAGTAGAAGTGGACCTAGCAGGTAATATCAAAGAAAAAACCACGGAGAATGAGGGAAAAACAGAGTAGAAAGCATGATACATTCTTGCTGATACCATGATTTCTAGTCTCAGAGGCTAAAAGAACAGGATGAGTCAGGATAAGAACTTTGTTTGAGAGAGAAGATAGCTTCTGTTTTTGGATATGCTGGGCTTGAAGTAACAACAGCATGTCTATATAGAGATGTCCCAAACACCAGGGATATGTGAGAATAGAGTTCATATGAACATATATGACAAAGATGAAAATATGGGGACTATAGATGTCAAAGGGATAGTTGAGACCATCATAATGCATTTGTGGGAGTTTGTGCAGAAACAGAACAGCAGTGTAAAAGACAGAGGCTCCTCAGGGATTGTGGCAGAGACTGTTGGCCATTCTGAAATCTCTTCTCCCTACTTCTGGACACACAACTATACTATATTTCTCAATCTTCCTTGAATTTGATTGAGTGAAGTGACAAAGGTCTCCCCCATTAAGTGAATGAGAGTGAAAAGCGATGTTAGCCATTCCAGTCTGGCCCGTAGAAACCACCCAAATGAACCCCTCTGTGCTCTTCTGCTACTGCTGGCCACACTTAGTTGACGACGAGGCCCTCGAGGATGATGGAACCACCATGTGGAAGGAATCTCTGTCCCTGAATTGTCAGGGGGAAAAGAACTGTCCACTGAACTAAACAGATCAATACACGAGCAAGAAAGTCCTATTCTGTGTGAGCCAGACTTTAGAGTCTATATACTATAGTAGTTTAGCTTAGCCTAAAAAAGGTGTCAATTATATATCTGCATTAAAAAAGGAGACTGATGAGAAGCATTGAAGAAGCAATAAGAGAGATAGAGGAGACAAAAATTATTGAATTAGCTGGTGGAAGAAAAGATACCAAGAAGGTGGTGTGGTCTATATAACCTAATGCTGCCCTGCAGGACAGCACCATAAGAACACAAACTGTGGCAGCTTCCCTGGTGGCGCAGTGGTTAAGAATCCGCCTGACAATGTGGGGGACATGGGTTCAAGCCCTGGTCCAGGAAGATCCCACATGCCACGAAGCAACTAAGCCCGTGTGCCACAACTACTGAGCCTGAGCTCTAGAGCCCACGAGCCACAACTACTGAAGCCCCCATGTCACAACTACTAAAGCCCATGCACCTAGAGCCTGTGCTCCACAAGAGAAGCCACCGCAATGAGAAGCCCGTGCACCACAACGAAGAGTAGCCCCCGCTCGCTGCAACTAGAGAAAGCCCGTGCGCAGCAACAAAGACCCAATGCAGCCAAAAATAAAATAAATAAATAAAAAATTTTAAAATAATTTAAAAATAAAAATGGGTTGTAATTAAAAAAAAAAGAACACAAACTGTGGAGTCAGAATGATTAGACAAATACTGATTCCACCAAGTAGTAGCTAAACAATCATGTACAGATTTCTTAACCTAAGAGACTTCTTTTCCTCATTTGTAAGGTGGGGTTAAAGTAGGCACAGGACTCGCAGAAGCCAGATTGGAAAACAGTGTCATTATTACTGTTACATTATTACTGAAGTTGAAGAAGACTATTAAAAGCCATTGGATTTGGTAAGAAGGAATTCTGTAGTGACTTCTCAAAGAGTCATAAATTATCTGAAATAAAAGTTAAATTACACAAGTTAAAAAGAGAGTCAGAATTGAAGATATGGTCATAGAATAAGATTTAGGAAAAAATTTTAAATGGAATCATCAGAGAAAGTGAAAGTCAGGATACAATAACATAAGGATCTGGTGAAGGGTACTGTCTTTATGAGGCGAGATCCATGGATAACTGAATGTACAGGAGAAAGAAACTATGATCAGGGTAAGGTTTAGAATGCTGGAGAAAGCAAGAAAACCACAAATGTCAGGTCAGGAGAAATGGTGAAGGCTGCTAACCCTGATGAGAAAGGCATCTCTTTTCCTCTGACTCCAAAGAAACTAATGAGAAGAGGCAAGTGCAGGAAAGGGGGGACAGAGTGGTAATCAGGTTTCTTGTGGGTCTCACCCAGGTGGCTGCAACCTCCCCAGTGGCCTGAAGAAGCCTTTAAGCCGAACTCTCTGGCAAGCATGACAAAGGCTCCATCTGCCTTGCTCTTACCTGGAGTTGGACCTCCTGAAATCTCTCTCTCCATCAGCCATGGTTCTTCTCCCTTCTCCAACTGGGAAATCACACCAGGTTTGGAAAGCTGATACCCTGCTTGTGAAGAAGAAGAAAACTACATGTGCTGAGGTCAAAGAGGCATCCCAAGAATTTAAAGATAGTTCTTTGTTATTCAGGCCTTCTGAAGGGTAGAGTAGAAAGACCAGAGCAGAAGACCACAGCAATCCTGACTTGATGTTCAGAAGGAATTAGAAATCTCTAACACAGAACCCAAAGACCAAGCATACCACTTAACTTAGAAATAAAGATTGTTATTCCAATAGACAGGTTCTAGTTACAAAGGGAACCCATCCTTACCCACTGAGACCAGGTTCCCATAGTTCTCCAGCATCACCTCCCGGTACAGATTCCGGTGAGCAGGGGCCAGCTGCCCCCACTCCTCCTGGGTGAAGTCCACAGATATGTCTTTGAAGGTTAACAGTTCCTAGAACATCAAATATGTTCCTTTTCAGCCAGAGTTAGGAAGTTGTTCTAACCTTGTCTAGATGCTAAGAGATTTTAGCCAAGTTTTCCTGGATACCCTCTTTTTTTTTTTTTTTTTAAATAAAAGCAAATCCATCATAGGGTTGGAGAAACTCAGCAGAGATTCTCCTCAGGCTAGACAGGTCTAGTCTATGTCAGTCTGTATGTAAGGACTTAAATTTATGAGGTAGCCTGCCACATGTGGGAGCCCATCTCTGATGCAGGAAAGGCTAGAAAGAGATCTCTTTGTCATCAAGCCTCTGCCAGTTCCTACGGACACCCTCTTGAAAACTGGCTGATTCTCTGCTGGAGGTTACAAAACAATGCAGGGAGTGTGTAAGCTGTCTTTTCCAACTCACAATTTGGTTGAAGGCAAAATACTCATGAACTGTATTAAAGAAGGTCACAGAACAGTATATAGTAATTTAGGTTAAGGACAATAAAAATCAGGAATATTTGAGAAAGGAAAGGGTTCAAAAGGGGCTAAGGCCACAAGAGAAAACAGGGACCCTGGTTGGGCTGAAAGAATTGGTTAAAATGAGAACATTTCGGGACTTCCCTGATGGTCCAGTGGTTAAGAATCTGCCTTCCAATGCAGGGGAAGCAGGCTTGATCCCTGGTCAGGGAACTAAGATCCCACGTGCTGCAGGGCAACTAAGCCTGCGCGCTCTACAGCCTGCGTGCCACAACGAAGAGCCCGCTTGCTGCAAGGAAAGATCCTGCGTGCCACAACTAAGACCCGACGCAGCCAAATAAATAAATTTTTTTTAAAAAATGAGAACATTTCAGCATGGATAAGACCCTTAGCTGGGTATTTCTGTTAGTAAAAAAAGTATGTGAGAACAGCACATTTTTAGAGGGAGCACGAATTCTGCCTAGTAAGGAAGATTCCTTGACCAAAGCAGACACTGCATTGTGAGGTACAAGAGCCTGTTATGAATGATCTACACAAATTAAATAACCATTTGGGTTATTTTTTTAAAATATTACCAAATGCAAAGAGAACCCAGAAGCCGGAAGGCTGAGATAATAACAAATTCCTTAAGTATGGAATTAAGACTATTTTAATGCTTTTTATGTATTGTAAATAATTCTGGAATGCATTTTAGGCCTACTAGACACTAGCCTCCATATTTAACTGATGAATTTGTGGAAGGTTAAAGACATGGGACTAAACCCTGTACCACGTGATTTTGGAAGTTATGATCACTCCACTTTAAAACTCTTCTGTTCTCTAATAATATCTCCTTCTATAGTGGTTTTCTCTGATTACTCTCTAATTCTCTTGAGTTTCTCTATGCTTCCAGGGTTTGGCTGTGCAGAGCTTTGCCTGCTAGTGTCACTGGTTTTCTGATGAGCTCATGTATGATACACAGACACTATTAAACTGCTCTTGGAAGTTCTCCTTCCTTTTCTTCTTAGCCTGTTTAGTTTGTGTCCTTTAGGACCTGTCAGTAGCTTCTCTACTCATTTCTCTATCATCTGTAATTCTGCTCCAGGACATGACCAAAAATCCTTTCTTAAAGGTCATTAATGAAGTGTATACATCTCCAAGAATATCAGAACCTCTCTGTTCATTTTAAAGTGTTGCTTTAAATATTTTACAATGTTTGTCTTTCCCCTGGATGACATCTTGAGATGCTTAAGGGCAAGAATTATATAATATACTTTTTCTCTCTCTTACACACACACACACACTCACACACATGATTTTTAAATTTGTTGTATAAATGGCTAGAGGCTTGCTAGAAACAAGAGGGTTTCTGAGGAAGGTTATTACAGGTGGGGAAAATGCCTGTGAAATCAATCCATGCAGCCTGGTTTCCAACAGGCTAAGAAAATCCAATCCAGGAAGTCGAGTCAAAGAAAATTGAAGCCAGGGCTCTTAAAATCTGAGAAACAATTTCAAGAAAGTGACAGGAAACTCCAACCTACCTGGGATTCTGCTGTCAGGGACCCAGATGCCACTTCATCCTCAAAACTTTCTCCCCGGGTCTCATCAGCATCCTGAGATAGCAGAACTGGGAAAGGAAAAGAGCTATGAGGTTTGCATCTTCCCAGATCCCCCAAATAGAAAAACTGTCTGCAGACCTGCTGAATCTGGCCCCTCTCTCAATACATTCAATACAATGAGGGACATTCAGAGCAACTCAAGAGCAGGCTGGCGCCTCCTTAATGAGGAGGATCTGCAGTGCGTTGATTGGGGGATTAATGTTTCCCAATGGCCAACGCTGGTCCAAAAGCACAGACCTACCAGGCCATTCCTTTGTACAAAAATCCTGAAAGGTTCCCCACTTTCAAGAAAGAAAAATCCAAACACTTTACCATAGACTTCAAGATCCTCCACAACCAGTCCAAAACTGCTTCTTCAAGTATTACCTGCCTCTAAACACCATCCTTCATCCTCTGGACACACCCACCACATAATCCTATTCACCATTCTTTGAACATACCTGGATAGCACCCACCTCAGTACTTTCCCCCAAGTCCTACTCGGTGAAAAACTGAGGTATCCTTCTAGACCAGTTTGAGTGAAGTTTTCTCAGAGCCCCTTAATGAGAGGAAAGCTTCCTCTCCCCTGAATTCCTCCAAAGCTTTTTAAAAAATTAATTTATTTAATTTTGGCTGCATTGGGTCCCCATTGCTGCGCGCGGGCTTTCTCTAGTTGCGGCGAGTGGGGGCTACTCTTCGTTGCGGTGCGTGGGCTTCTCATTGCAGTGGCTTCTCTTGTTGCAGAGCACGGGCTCTAGGCACGCGGGCTTCAGTAGTGGTGGCTCGTGGGCTCTAGAGCACAGGCTCAGTAGTTGCGGCACACTGGCTTAGTTGCTCCGCGGCATGTGGGATCTTCCCTGACCAGGGCTCGAACCTGTGTCCCCTGCATTAGCAGGTGGATTCTTAACCACTGCGCCACCAGGGAAGCCCCAAAGCTTGGTTTTTATCTCTACTCTGGTATCTATCTCAGGCTGTCTCCTATTATATTTATTTTTATACTTATCACTGTCAATTGAGTATTAGTATGAGTATATGCATAGAAACTGTATCTGGTTCATTTTTTCCCATCTGCTACTTAAACACAACTAAATTACGCCAGGCTGCTAGAATTCAAGAAATACTGGCTGAAATTTGACGTATTAAAAATATGAACTAGCAATTAAGGCACATGAATTATTGTCCTTGTATTTTCCCCTTAACTTTTTATCATGAATATTGAACACCCATATATCTAACACATTAAATGGTCGTTAACATTTGCCATATTTGTTTCATCTATCTATATTTTTTTCTGAACCATTTCAAAGTTGCAGAAATCATGATACTTCCTCCCTAAATACTTCAAAGAGTCTTCTCCTGCATAACCATGATACCAATTATCACACTTCAGAGAATTAACAATAATTCCATAGGATCATCTAAATATTCAGTCCATATTCAGATTTCCTCAATTGTTCCCAAACTGTCTTTTATCCTAGAGTTTTTCCAATTAAGGCTCACACATTTTAAGTGGTTATTATTCAAAGACTCTCTTACTCTAGACAGTACTTGCCTTTCCTTCATGTCACTGGCATCGACTTACTGTATCCTCATGGTGGGGTTTCTCTTATTTCTCCATCCCCTGTATTTTCTTTAAACCAGAAGTTCCACCTTTAAGATTAATTTGGATCAGGTTAAACATTTTAGGCAGGGATTCTTCATGGGTGATACAATGTGCTTTATATTACATCACCCAGAAGGCACAAAATGTCAGGTTATCCCATCACTGGGACACTTGGTTAAGATAGTGATCACTAGGACCTCCCTGGTGGCGCAGTGGTTAAGAATCCATCTGCCAATGCAGGGGACACGGGTTCGAGCCCTGGTCCGGGAATATCCCACATGGCTGCAGAGCAACTAAGCCCATGCGCCACAACTACTGAGCCTGTGCTCTAGAGCCCGCAAGCCACAACTACTGAAGCCCGTGCTCCGCAACAAGAGAAGCCACTGCAATGAGAAGCCTGCGCACCACAACGAAGAGTAGCCCCGCTCGCCACAACTAGAGAAAGCCCACACGCAGCAACGAAGACCCAACGCGGCCAAATATAAAATAAATAAAATAATAAATAAATAAATAAATAAAAGGTCCTTTAAAAAAAAATCTGGACACTTAAACTGTCCCCAATTTGAACCGGGCTTCTGCATCCTTCTGGTAGACGTCCATTGGTCTTTGAGCTCTTCCTTGCTATTCTAGCACAAGATACTCCGGTCTCACCTGGTACTTTCCCTACTGCCTTCTACTTCTGACCCACCCACCCAATACCTGGACAGGTCATTCATTTGATTCACATTTCCTCACTGTAAAATAAGGAAAATCAGGCAAGTCCTCCCAGCCCCACGCACCCATGGGGAAGATAAAAAGAAATAACATACACAGTCATGACACTGAAATATTAGTTTTAGTCTGAACTAACCACTACTCCTTGGGAAAACCCCAAGCCAGGAGCAATAATCAAGAACTCCAGAGACCTTTTACCTAAGCAGATGCTTCTTCCCAGCTGCCCACTTTCCTCCCCACCCTAGACGATGCTGCTTTGCCTCCCTCCCACCCAGCAGTCTGTTCTCACCTTCTCCTTCAAACATCTTAGTCACGTCCTCTCACAGGGGCGCCCCCTCCGTGGCCTTCTTTGGATGGTGCAACTTCACCCAGGTGCTGGCCTCGACGGGCAGGGTGATTAGGAGTCTCTGAAGCATGATAACTTTGGCGCTCCTTTCTGGCGAACTGTAGCTCAGCTCACAGGGCAGAGAGTCCTGACTGGGCTTGTCCACTTTTGATGAGGAAACTGCCGGAAACTGACAGGAGGCTTCACAGTTGCACAGGTGTCCTCCACTCTCAGGAACCCGGCGAACATACAGCACCAAAATCCGGAGTCTGGACCTTTTTACTCCCTAGGCTCTCAGAAACACCTCCCATCCTTGCGCTCCATCTGTCTCCTCAGCAGGCAGCGGGAGGCTCCAGACGTTTATTCTAAATCGCCAAGTCTACAGGCCCCTAGCCATGCTGGTTAGAAAACATCAGTCAGCAAAAGGATCCGGAAAGTTCAATCACATGGTCAGAATTCTAGAACTTGCACCAATCACTGAACATTGTTTACAAAAGATACATGGAGACCGTGGATATATACAGTCCATATGGTCCAAAACACCGTGCTGGGGTCATGAAGCATAACGGGATAAATAAAACCCAATTCTTTGTTTTAGGCAGCACTAGGTTTAGAGTAGTCTGAGATTTGGAATCAAAAAGGATCTGGCTTTGAATCCCAGCTCCTTCCCTTGCCGGCTGCGGCAAATCCCGTAACCCCGCTAATCCAGTTTCCTCCTCCCGAAATGGAGAGGATAAACCTTTTCTCCAGGGCTGAACCGCCCGGCCCTGCCCTCGCAGCCTTTGTCTGAGCCGACTCTGGGGCGCGGGGCACACTGCGCGCCACGGGTGACAGCGGGCGGGGCCGAGGCGGCGCTACCCGGCTTGTCCCCTCCCCAGACCCAGGGGAGCCCTGGCTCACCCCTCTCACCAGCTCGGGCCGCACGCCCTAGCCCTCCCGCCGCGACAGACCGGTCTCCGCGCAGTGCCAAGATGCCCCACGTAGCGCAGCCCGGCCGGTGCGCCTGCGCGGCAGCAGCCTCCGCGCGCGGTTCCCGGCGTCCTGCGGGGCAGCCTGCCAGCTCGCCGGCGCCTCCCGGGATGTGCCCCGGGATACTGTCCCATCATTCTCCGTTTGCACGCAGCTCGAGACCCGAACCCAGGGAGAAGCAGCCTGCTCCTGCGGAAGGAAACAAAGCCTGTGTTCCCGTCCCCGCCGAGACTACTGAATAGAACCGGCTCCCCTCTGCCAGGCATAGATGTGTGTATGTTTCCGCCGGGAGATTTGAAACACTTGACAAAGGGAAACATCTGTATCTCTTTTTTGTCGAAACAACATTGGTGTAAAAGGATCCATACCACTTTCACTTAATATGTAAGTGGAAAAGACTGAAAGTGGAATGGAATCCAGTGTTTCATTAAAAGAATACCACGGTCAGGTAGTTGTTTGTCCTAGTATTCAATAAGTTCTTAAGTTAATTGCTTTCCTTATATTTCTAAAATGCCACAAAATAACTGTTACCTGTAATCTCACCAAGCAGAGTAACCATTGCTAACATTTGGTGCACAGACACCTACACACACACAATTTTTAAAATGCATTTTTATGTATTTTCTGCAAAAACGATTATACTGTAATGCTTTTATTTTCTACATCAATAGCCTACAAAAATAACAATTCAGAAAATAGAATAAAACTATGTGATTGCTGAACTTCCCTGGTGGTCCAGTGGTTACGACTCTGCACTTGGACTGCAGGGGGCGCGAGTTCCGTCCCTGGTCAGGGAAGTTCCGCTAGCCGCGCGGTGCGTCCAAAGACAAAAATCCACAACAAAACAAAAAAACTATGTGATTGCTAGCTATTATGAACTGGTGTCACAGTGGTTAAGAATCCACCTGCCAATGCAGGGGACATGGGTTGGAGCCCTGGTCCGGGAGTATCCCACGTGCCGCGGAGCAACAAAGCCCTTGCGGCTGGGAGCCACAACTACTGAAGCCCACGTGCCTAGAGTCCCTGCTCTGCAACAAGAGAAGCCACCACAATGAGAAGCCTGCACTGCAACAAAGAGTAGCCCCCACTCTCTGCAACTAGAGAAAGCCCCTGAGCAGCAACGAAGACCCAATGCAGCCAAAAATAAATTAATTAATAAAATAAATTAAAAAAAAAAAGTACAGACCTTCCTGGGCTTATGATGGGGTTACATCCAGATAAGCCCATGATAAATTGAAAATACAGTAAGTCAGAAATGCATTTAATACAACTAACCTACCAAACATCATAGCTTAGCCTAGCCTACCTTAAACGTGCTCAGAACCCTTACATTACCCTACAGTTGGGCAATATCATCTAACGCAAAGCCTATTTTATAATAAAGTATTGAGTATCTCATGTAATTTACTGAATACTGTACTGAAAGTGAGCAAAATGGCTGTGTGGGTGCAGAATGGTTGTAAGTACATTGGTTGTTTATCCTTATGACTGTGACTGACTGGGAGCTGAGGCTCACTGCCACTGCCCAGTATCAAGAGAGGGTATTATACCAAATATTGCTAGCCCAGGAAAAGATTAAAATTCAAATTATGGTTTCTACTGAATACATATCACTTTCACACAACCGTAAAGTTGAAAGATTATAAGTTGGGACTGTCTGTAATTAAGATTAAATGAGGTCATAAGGGTGGGGCCCTGATCCTATAGGATTAGTGTCTTTTTAAGAAGAGGCATCAAAGGGCTTAATCTCTCTCTGAAGGCAGACCCTGAGGAAAGGTAATCTGAGGATTTAGCAAGAAGTCACCATATACAGACAGTAAGAGAGCCCTCATCAGAAACAGCTCCTGCCAAATCTTGATCTGGGACTTCTAGCTTTCAGAACTGTGAAAAAATAAATTTCCATTGTTTAAGCCACCCAGTCTACGATATTTTGTTATAGTAGCCCAAGCAGACTAACACACCAGCATATAGTATTTACAGAGTATGAAGCTTTGTTCTAAGTGCATTACATATTTTTTTAATTAATTAATTTTTTTTTTTGGCTGTGTTGGGTCTAAGATGCTGCATGTGGCTTTCTCTGGTTGCAGCAAGCGGGGCCTACTCTTTGTTGTGGTGCCCAGGCTTCTCACTGCAGTGACTTCTCTGTTGTGGAGCATGGGCTCTAGGCACATGGGCTCAGTAGTTGTGGCTCGCAGGCTCTAGAGCACAGGCTCAGTAGTTGTGATGCACGGGCTTAGTTGCTCTGTGGTATGTGGGATCTTCCCAGACCAGGGCTTGAACCCGTGTTCCCTGTGTTGGCAGGCGGATTCTTAACCACTGAACCACCAGGGAAGTCCCGCATTACATATTTTAACCAATGTAGTCCTCATAACAACCCCTTGAGGTAAATGCTATTATTATTCCCACTTTGCAGATAAGAAAACTGAGGTTTGGAGAAGTTAAGTAACTTGCCCTGCATCATACAGCTTGCAAGTGGTGAATCCAGACAGTCTGTGCTTCTGTCTACTACTCAACAAAAAAACAGCATAAATATAGTAAAAAGTTAATGGTAGAGTCTAGGTAGCGGTACATGGATGCTCACTGTAAAACTCTTTCAACTTTCCTGTATGTTTGAATATTTTCATAATAAAATATTGGAAAAATATTGCTAAGAACGAACAACAAGAGTTATGCAGGACATTATAAATAAAACCACAAAAGTTACTGATTTAAATGGCGAGAATGATGATGTACACCATGTTCATGGATTGGAATAGAACATTCTAAATATGTCACTTTCCCTCCTTTAATGCTCCAAAATCAAAATCTCAACTTTTCCTCTTATTAAATTAAATGATTCTAAAGTTTACCTGGAATGGTAAGTATTCCAGAATGGCCTGTAAAATTTTCCAACAATAATGATGTCAGACTTGACCTACCAATATAATTGGTATAAATTGTTTTACCAATATAATATAAGGCACAATAATCAAAATAAGATAAAACTAGTGCCAAAATATACTCATAAATTAATGAAATGAAATTGGGACCCCTGAAATAGACTTGGTAATTTACTTAAATTTAAAATATTATAAAAGTGGCATTACAAATTAGTGGAGTGATGAATTATTCAGTAAGTGTCATTAGGACAACTAGTTAGCCACTTAGGGAACTGTATTAGTCTGCTTGGGCTGCTACAACTAAATACCATAGACTGGATAGCTTAAACAGTGGAATTTTTTTTTTTTTTTTTACAGTTCTGGAGGCTGGGGAGTCCAAGATCAAGGTGCTGGCAAGGTAGATTACATTCTGAGGACTCTTCTCTTGACTTGTAGGTAGCTGCCATCTTGCTGTGTGTGAGACCTCATGTGAGGTCTCACATGACCTCTTCTTGTAGGCATATACGAAGAGAGAGTGAGCTCTTTGGTGTTTTTTCTTATAAAGACACAAATCCTTTACTTAAGACCTCATTTAACCTAAGATCTTATCTCCAAGTACAGTCATATTGGGGCTTCAAACTGAATTTGAATTGGGCAGGGACACAAACATTCAGTCCCCAACAGGAACAAATCAAGTTGGGTTTCTACTGTACATGTTACACATCATATAATTTCTGGAAAGTTAAGTTTTGTTTTAAAGTAAACTACTAAAATGTTCAAAGAAAGGTGATTCTATGCATAGTTTTGTGATTAAGTCTCTTTTATTTGCAAGGAACAAGTTCACCAGAATTGCTTTTTCTAAGTTAAAAGTAGGATGATGATGGTGATGATTACTGAAAGGATTCTGAAGTGTCTTTGGGTCATCATAGCCATATAATTATGATACTGGTGTGAGAAATGAAAAATAAACCAATGGAACAGACTAGGGAATCGAAAAATAGATTCTAGTGTATATGAGAATTTATTAAATGACAAAGATGGTATAGCTCAATTCAGAAGGAAATGGGTGAATTGTTTAATAAGTGAAGCCTATGGAATTTTATTCCTTATCAATCTGGAAGAAAATAAAAACGGATCCCTATCTTAAACCATATTCAGAAATATTCCAGTTGTATTAAACTCTTACATGTAATAACAGAACAAAAATCTTGCAAGAAAATCCAAAAGAGTACATATACAAATAGAACAGTAGTTACCAGGGGCTGGGGAGAGAAGAAAATGGGAGTTGTTCAATTGCTATAAGGTTTCAGTTCTGCAAGATAAGTTCTAAAGATCCACTGTACAATATTGTGCCTATAGTTAACGATACTGTATCGCACACTTAGAAATTTGTTGAGAGTAGATCTCATGTTATGTGTTCTCATCGCACATACAAACATGAAAAGGACTCAAGGGAACTTTTGGAGGTGAAAACAGATTCTATATAGATTCTGCTTTCTTAATTGTGGTGATGGTTTCATGGGTCCATGCACATGTCCAAACTCATCAAATGTAGTCATTAAATACTTGCAGTTTTCTTGTATATCAATTATACCCAATAAAAATGTTGGAAAAAAGTACGTATACAATTATTAGCGGGAGAAACGTTTTTAACAAAAAGTCTGAAAACTTGATCAACATACTCGACTAGATAAAAATTAAAAACTCTTGTAGGCAAAAGATCACTTAAACAAAGTCAATATACAGATGACATCTGAAAAAAATATTTGCGATGCAGATAGACAAAAATATGTATTTGACTCTAAAATATCATTTATTTTAAATACACCATTATTTACATACTACTAATAAAGAAAAATGTTGCAATTAAATTAATACCGTTTTTTACAGTGTAGAATTTTATTTTATACTTAATGAAGGAGCTCTTTCAGCCAGACTATTTCTAGGCATGGATTTTTGTTACACATAATGCTACTCTGTTTCTGTGCCTTTTTATGTACATCATAATTTTTTTCATTGTAATGCCAAATCACTCTGTAACTTTTACGACATTTAGCATAGTAATTAAACTCAACAGTTCCAGTACCAACAATGCACATAACTTAACCAATGCTTGGGCACTGACAGTCAATAACAACAATACCTCAACTACTGATTTCAAGTCAACTTCATCCCTGTAAAAAAAGTGGAGGTGGGGGGGAGAAAAAAATAATCCAGTGAGAAAATGGGCAAAGAACATGATGATTAGACAATTCACAGAAGAGAAATCCAAATAGTCAACAAGCATATGAAAAGATAGCCAAACATGCAAATTAAAAGTAATAATGAGACATCACTTTACACCCAAACTGGGCAAAAATAAGAACTATAACAGCTATTGCAAGTGGGAATGCAGGGAGAGATTACTCCCATGCGTTGATTATAGAAGTGGACACCTGTCTTTCTGGAAAGTAATCTGGAAATATCTCTTAAAATAAAAAATACATACTCTGTTTACAAATCATTCCTACTTTGAGAATCTATCCCTTGGAAAAAATAGCGTTGTTACAAAGGACAACTGTACAAGAATGGTTATTGCAGAACTGGTTTTACTGGCAGAAAATAGGAAAGTAAATGCCCACCAGTATGGAAACTGCTGAATAAATGATGATTGGCCCACACCAAGAACGTTAAAAGGGCCTTATAAACGAATCAATTGGAGCTATACCATCACTTGGTGGGATTTCCATGAGATATTTTTAAGTGAGAAAGTATTAAATTAAATCATGTGAATTTCTTAATATTTGATCAGTTTTGACATACAAAAAGGCAATATATGATTCAGACTAATAATTATCCCCCAAATATGTATATTTGTGTGTATATATACAGGTATATGTGTGTATGTAAATATACTACTTATTATATGCATACTTACATTGGTGCAGAGTATCTGAATGTAGAGAAAAATACATGCTACACTGTTAACATGCACAAATTAAACAAAAGGAACATAACGTGATCCTAAAGCAGATCATTGTAACTCTGTGCTTGAACTGGGGATTTATGCCAAATGATGCTGGCTGCATTATATTGAAGCTCTCAACTCCCTTTATTTCAATAAATGTGTTGAAAAAGAGAACAAATTTTTCTACTGTAAATAGGAAAGCATTACATGCCACAAAATAAATAAAAATACTGAATCCAAGAAATTAAAAATTTAAATAAAACAATGAAAAGAAGAAATAATAACAGTCAATTTACAAAAGTACGTATCTGAAAATAAGTTTCTCAATGCAAAGAATGGAATTGTTTATCAATTTAAAAGTAGGGAGAGATATTTGGATTGATGTCACTTACCAAAAAAGAAAAAAAGATGGGCTTCTACATTAATGTTTCCATTTTTCAGATTTGATATGAGCCAGCACTGGAAATCCTAATTCACTTGCATGCATGGTATATAAGTACAAGATAACTGCATTTCTGATGGAGTTAGAAACTAACCAAAATTATGAGAAATTTTTGTTTAATAATTATTTCAATAGGACATCTAATACAATACCTAGAATTTGATCTTCAAAATGTGTCAAGTTGTTTGATTAAAGGTCGGAGATACTGGAGAGAGGGCTCCTTATCTATTCATCTCTGCCACCAGATTCAGAAAATCCCTACGAAGACATTTTAGCAAGTCTTTCAAGTGTCTCTTCATAATCTTCAAAATATAGTACCAGAGAGTAGTTCAGATGAGTTAATCAGCATATCATCCAAACAAAAGGAACCCAACTCACCATTTTATTTTATTTTTATAGATAAAAGAACTTTTTTTTAATTTAAAAAATTATTTATTTATTTTTGGCCACGCTGCACGGCTTGTGGGATATTAATTCCCCCACCAGGGATTGAGCCCAGGTCCATGGCAGTGAAAGTGCTGAGTCCGAACCACTGGACCACCAGGGAAATCCCCCAACTCACCATTTTAAAGAGGTCCACCCCACGGCTCCAGTTACACAACATTGTTATTCAATGATTTTGATCTTTCAAGTGGAAAACTGGTTTAAACCTTGCCTTGCAGGACTGCATTTAGATTGTTCAAAGGATAAATCTATCTGGAGCCAGTGCCAGTTAGGAACATGCTCTTACAAATGTGATCCAGAAAGATGAAGTCATTTTAGCATCTTGAAGAGATGCTGCTCTTCAGTGGTTTCATTCAGAACCAATGAGCTTCTGAATGAAACAGAACGTGTTTGAAATCATTGCCCATCTCTTCATGGATCTGAGAAAGTGGGAGAATTCAGTGACCCTCTCTTATAGGACTGATAATCTTAACTTTGTTAGGTATTTATCTTAAACCTTCATGCCCAGGTTCTCCCTGTGCATAATTGGTAAATTTTTTTTTTTTTATAATTGGTAAATTTTATTCAAATCACCACTACTGTTTACATTTCTATGACAATTTTCAGCCTTATCCTTTAGAAATACCATTTTCACCACTGATTCATGATAGGGTCAAAAGGAAATTAACATTATGATTAGTGACAGAGTGAGGCCCAATTCAATTTACAATTATATAAACTTCTACATATTTTCCATCACAAATGATTGTCAACTTCCAGCAGAAGGAACTGTGCTAGCACTCAGAATCATCTATACTATACTATCTATACTATCCATGCTTATGATGGTAAGTTTAGTTACAGTAGCCGACGCTGTCTTTGTCCTGTGCACACCCTTCAGACTTCCCAGTGTGCTTCAGCGATGCCAGCTGCCAGTATCTGCATCTCTGCGGCTGGGCAAGGAATTAACACTGATAACCCTCCCACTACACCCACCACCGGGGCTCAACCGATGACTCTTGCCGGTTGGTTTGACAATACCCAGTCTGCTCACCACTAGGTGGAATGATTCTGAGATTTGTAACTCAGTTTCCCAGAGTTTCAGTGTGATTAAGCTCCAGTCTCCTACAGAGGTAACTAGCTTAATAGTGTATCCTTTACTGGCTATCTTCTTTTCCCTGTCTCATTTCCCCCACCCCCTATTGGTATTTCCCAAATAAACTACTTGTGCCCAACCCTTTGTCAGGATGTGTTTCCGAGAGAACCCAAATCAGTCACTGAATGTGTGAACGATGATCCTACAAGTCATGCAGTCCTTGTAAGGTGAGTGCCTTACCAGCCTACACTACCCTGATCCCAAGCAATAATATCCTTGAAATTCCATGTTTAATGTACCAATTATATTTCTTCTAATACACATTAAAAATAAATACATAGAAAATTCATCAAGCTATACATGTATAGTTTGTATACTTTCCTATATGTAAGATATACTTCAATTAAACAGTTAAAAAGATAAATACGTAGCAATTCAAATTGTCTTTCACATAGAGAACAGACTTGTGGTTGCCAAGGGGGAGGGCGGTGGGGGAGGGGTGGACTGGGAGTTTGGGATTAGTAGATGCAAACTATAACATATAGAATTGAGGAACAACAAGGTCTTACTGTATAGCACAGGGAACTATATTCAATGTCCTGAGATAAACCATAATGGAAAAGAATATAAAAAGGAATGTATATATTTGTATAACTGGGTCACTTCTCTGTGCAGCAAAAATGAACACAGCAGTTTAAATCAACTGTACTTCAATTAAAAATAAAAATAAAAAATAAAATTGTCTGAAAGTCACCCCTGGTTCTGAGCTTCTGCTTCCAGTGAATTCATTCAGTTTATAAATCATCTTGCCACTCCACTTAAAAAATCCAGAATTTTGCTGGAGTCGTTTCTCCTCAAAGGAACAACCTTCACTAACACATGAGAATTAACAGATGGCTACTCTTTCTTCTCTTGTCCTCTCTGGAACAATCCTCCGGGGTCCATTGGTTTCACTAGGGGGTGGGCACTCAAAGCTAATGCCCCTTCTCCATCCTGGGAGACAATGGGAGAGATTAAAGCCACCTTCTTCTTGCTTTCCTTAAACTCCCACAATATTGATAAACCAGACTGAACAGTCTTATGAAAACTTTTATGGGAGAGTCAGGGAAATTCAGAATTACAATCATAATGAACTTGAACTCTCTTAGAAAGAAAGTACTTGACACTTTGGACTTCACAAGGACTGTAGTCACAACCCTCATCCCACAGGTGCTGTTTTCCTTGAGGCTCTCAGTCCATAACTCTCTTCCCAGGGAAAACTGTACCCCTTTCCAAAAGAAGAGTCCCATCCTCTGGCCTTTCCGCCTTCTTAGCCCTTGTTTTGTGGTCTTAAGTTCTAGTTAAAGGGAGCAGATGGAACACATGTATCTAGCTCCACTCCGTCACAAAATCCCATCATAACTGCAGAAAAAAGGGATTTAAAACCAAAAGCATAAATCCAGAAGACAAGAAATGGATGAACGGGCTTCCCAGGTGGCGCAGTGGTTGAGAGTCTGCCTGCCAATGCAGGGGACATGGGTTCGTGCCCCAGTCCGGGAAGATCCCACATGCTGCGGAGCGGCTGGGCCTGTGAGCCATGGCCGCTGAACCTGCGCGTCCGGAGCCTGTGCTCTGCGACAGGAGAGGCCACAACAGTGAGAGGCCCACGTACCGCAAAAAAAAAAAAAAAAAAAAAAAAGAAATGGATGAATGATGATAGCTTTATGAGTTCTTACAAGGCTGAATCCTAAGTGAGCAGTGGGGAAAGCCAAGAAGCAACCTGATTTACATTACAGAATCCCCAAAAGCAAACAAACTGGTTGCCTGGGGTACTTCTGGAAATGGGGAGTGAAAGCAATGTTAAACATAGAATATTGGTTGCAAATCTGTTAGAAGCAGTTAGATTTCCAGCATCTCTACAGTACTCCAGAGTCAGGTGACTGTCCTTTATCTCTCTGTGGGAGACTGGAGGAGTAGTTTAAGGAGAAGATAAAACAGAGGGGTCTCTGAACTGAAGAACACCAGGCACAGTTGAGGGCAGGGTACTATGCTGGAAATGGAGGAGGGAATGGGGCAAGGATACATGAAAATTTGCACACTGAACCTGAGACTCCCAATCTTCTTCCCAGAATGCTTCCACACAGGTCTATACTCCCTGGGTAGCAAATTTGAAAACACTTCTCCAGTGACTCCAATCGGCCGAAGAGAAAAAGATCTAAAGATACTGACATGGAAGGTTCTCCAAAGATATGGCCCAGGCAGACCACTACCCAGTTCATTATGGGCAGCTCTGGTCCCATGGCACCTAGGGTCTCATGATCTGGGATTCAATCCCCACCAAGGCCAGGTGGGGAAATAGTTACTTGCCAAAGAGGGCATAGCTTCGAAAACCATAATTGCCTTCTTGGTGATTCTTTAATTGGGGCTTATAAGAGTGTCCAAACAGTATCCTGATTTGCTACTGATCTACTGAATCATGCGGACTGAGGGGAGAAGTACCTGTAGCCTGAACAAGAGGAACATTTGTCACTCTGGACTCCACTTGAAGTAGGCAGTTTTTCAGGTCACCTCCAAAATCCGTTGTGTCAACACACCCAACTATGGTATATTTGCTTTACAAATCCAAAGGGACTCATCAAGTGCAGTACTTCTTTTTTAATACAGAGGGTAGCAAGTTCAGCATCGTGTTCTTTCCTTTAAAAGGGTCAGCCAGGGGACTTCACTGGTGGTCCAGTGGTTAAGACTCCACGCTCCCAATGCAGGGGCCACGACTTTGATCACTGGTCACGGTGTGGCCAAAAAATAAAAAAAAATAAAAGAATCAGCCCAACATGCCTCAAATAATTCATTGATGTGGCAGGACTCCTTGTAGATTAGATTACGTGATAGATTGCCTATTACTTCCTGCTTAAAACAATAATAATCCTTTATTATCTCTCACAGTTCCCATAAGTCAGAAATACAGACAGGGCACAGTGCAGACAGCTTGTCTTTTTACCATTATGTTGGGAGCCTAACTGAAAGACTCAAAGGCAAAGAGCTGGTTGGTGCTTTGTGACCACCTATAGGGGTGGGATAGGGAGGGTGGGAGGGAGGGAGACGCAAGAGGGAAGAGATATGGGAACATATGTATATGTATAACTGATGCACTTTGTTATAAAGCAGAAACTAACACACCATTGTAAAGCAATTATACTCCAACAAAGATGTTAAAAAAAAAAAAAAGGCAAAGAGCTGGAATCATCTGAAGGTTATTTACTGCCACGTAGGCCTGGCCAGGGCTGTTGGCCAGAAACCCACATATGACTTCTCTATGTGGCCTGGGCTTTCTCAAAATCTGTTGCCTTTGTATGAAGGGCAAGAGTCCCAAGACAGAGAGAGAAAGCCAGGAAGAAGCCATATGTATTGCCCTTTTATAACCTAGCCTGAGAAGTCACACAGTGTCATATCTGCTGCATTCTATTGGTTGAGGCAGTTATAAAGGACTACTCATGTTCAAAGGGAGACAAAATAGATCCCACCTTTCAATGGAAGAATGCCAGTGTGGGATGGGGAATATGTTGGTGGGAGCCATCTTGGAAAATACAATCTACTGTGGTGAGAGAGCCAAAGCCTCTACAGATGGAACTATTGCATAGATCTAAGAGGTGTCATATTCCTCAGATGGGGTGGTAAACTCACACTGCTGTTCTACCAAGGGAAAGCAAATTCCTTCTGATACTTTTGTTTATCAGGATAAATTCCCTCTCCAAAATTATAATGTTAATAGACATATATCATGTGTCAAACACTATCCTGATTAGATTCAATAGAGAAATAACTTCTGGAAAAGCACCTGTAATGAGTATCACCCAGTTTGGAGGTATTAACCTGAAGAAGTTAATGGTAATTTACTGTCTTTCTCCCAAACCCATCCATCTTTTGCACCAGCTAGACTGAAGTTAAATGGACATGTGGTTCTTAAATTCTCCCAGAGATGTAATACTGCTACTGATTTATTATTTTGATAGGGAAGAGCTCCAGGAGCTTCCTCTTCTCCACTCTTTTCTCAACAGTCCTTACTTCACCGGTCAGCAAGCCAGTGTGAGAATTCTTTCAGTTGCTAAGGGCATCTTTTCCAACTAGACACTCAGAAATGGGGAAACTACTACAGGAGGGGTTTAAGGTTCCATCGGGCCTATGGTGAGACTGAATTAGTTCAAAACGCCATCATTACCTGATCTCTATATGCTTCCACTCTGACAAGTGGCCAACATTATGGGTACTCAGGACATAGTGATAGCTAACAGTTAGTGTCCAACTGTTGCCATAGTGTTTGTGTAGTTTCCCTAGTGTATTGACCCAGGTAAAATGGTAATGGGTCCCTTTGGGGAAAGCCAGAAGTAAGATACACATTGTACACTTATGGGGCTTTTATAAGCCCCTCCTCAAGGACACCTGGCCTCTCCATTTTTCCATAGGCTCTAGGTCTTTGAACTAGCTCAGGTCTAGCAATAGAATACAGGGCTACATTTTTATCTTGATGACATCTGTCTCCAAACCTGGAGAAATTTTGGCTATGCAGATCAAGCAGGGCTTTAGTGAGCTGCTACTTATCTGGGTTCCTATCCTCAATTAATCACCTCCAAAGATCTTGGTATCCATTCTGATTACCATAAATTGCAGGTGGGCCACTGTTAAAGGCTACTATTGGAAACGTCCCAACTCCACTGAAGATAGGGAGTACACTTTAGCATTCTTGGCCTCTAGAGAACACCTGCTAAGTCATGTTTTAAGGATTCTAGAACTTCTATAAGAAAGTATGTCTCAAGCCATTGGGTAAAGGGAATGCCTTCAGGGTTCTGCCAGGGACAGGTTGGGAAAAGGGATGACATATTTGGTAATTCATTCCAGAATTCCTTGAGTTTTGGAATCTTTTCTCTACATTATACAAAGGAATTTCTGTCTTCCCAGCTTTTAGGATTGGCCAATATAATGTTTATCTATTTTAAATATGCCCAGATGCTGCATCCAGGACATTAAATCTAAGATCTGTGGTACGTGCATGCATGCCAATACATACCACCTGACCCTAAATTACATCTTGGTCTTCTTGATCGAACACTCAGTATTTTCATATGGATTCCTCATATTTTTGCCAATGACTGTGTAAGTCCCTTCTTCCAGGTATTATTTGCTCCCTGATGTGATATGATGTACTCCAGATAAACTATGAGATATTCTTGTCAAAATATTTAATGTGAATCTAGACCTACTTTCTAGTTTCCAGGTAGATGAAAATTGTAGAACTTTCTACGAATTGGCTTCAAAAAGTCAATGTCATGGGGAAAAAAGGTAGAGACATTGTTCCAAATGAAAAGAAATTGAATAGACATAATAACCAAATGCAATGCATAAACCTAAATTGGATCTGGGTTTAAAAAAAAAAAGGAACAGAAGACATTCTTGGGATAACTGGCAAAAATTAAAAATGGACAGAATTTTAGGTGGTATTGAATTATTGTTAATCTTCATTGGTATGAAAATGGTATGGTGGTTATATAGAAGAATATATCACTCTTAGAAGGTGCATGCTCAAATATTTAATGGTGAAGTATCACTATGTCTGCAACATACTTTCAAATGACACAGTGAAAAATGTTTTCAACATTAAGTTTGTGAGATTTCTCTATGTGGTTGTATATAACTCTGGTTTGGCAATTTCCATTGCTGTTTAGTATTCTATTACATAAATATACTACAATTTCTTTACCTATTTTTCTGCTGATGGACATCTGGATTGTCTCTGGTTTGGCGATATCATGAATAATGATGAACATTCTTATGCTCACGTACATGCATTTCTATTTGGTGTATACCTAGGAGCAGAATTACTGAATTATAGGTATATCTATGTAGCAACATTAGTAGATAATACTAAACCATTTTCCAAAGTAGTTGTATCAATTTACGCTCCTACCAGTTGTGTGTTCCCATTGCTCCACATATTTGCCAACACTTGGATTATCTTTTTTCATTTTAGCCATGCTGGTAGGTGTTTAGTGATGTCTCATTGTGGTTTTTATCTGTATTTCCCCAATTACTAATGAGATTGGGCATCTCTTCATATGTTTGGTAGTCATTTGGGTAGCCTCTTGAAGTGCCTAGTCAGGTCCACATTGTCTGTTTTTCCATTAGCTTGCCTGTCTTTTTCTCGTTTTGCAGTTCTTCATATATTCTGAATACAAGCCCTTTATCATGTGTTCCAAATATTTTCCCTTACTCTGTGGTAAGCCTTTCTACTCTGTTAATGGAATCTTTTGATAAACAGTTCTTAAATTTAATCTAATCAAAGTATACAGATGGCAAACAAACATTTGAAAAGATATTCAGCACTACATATTAGGTGACTGCAAATTAAAACAGCAGTGAGGTACTACTACACACCTATTAGAATGGCCTAAATCCAAAAACACTGACAACACCAAATGCTAGCAAGGATGTGGAGCAATAGGAACTCTCATTCATCACTGGTAGGAATGCAAAATGGTTCAGCCACTTTGGAAGACACTTGGCAATTTCTTACAAAACTAAATATACTCTTATCATATGATCATGCTCCTTGGTAATAACTCAAACGGATTGGAAATTTATGTCTACACAAAAACCTGCACACAGATATTTATAGCAACTTTATTTATAATTGCCAAAACTTGGAAGCAACCAAGATGTCCTTCAGTAAGTGAATAGATAAAATAAACTGTGGCACATTCAGGCTCTGAAATACTATTCAGCACTAAAAAGAAATGAGCTAACAAGCCATGAAAAGACAAAAATGCATATTACTAAGTAAAAGAAGTCAATCTGAAAAGGTTACAAACTGTATGATTCCAGCTCTATGACATTCTGGAAAAGGCAAAACTATGGAGACAGTAAAAAAAAAAAAAATCATTAGTTTCCAGGAGTTATGTGAGAGCAAGGGATGGATATACAGAGCACAGAGGGTTTTCAAGACGGTGAAACTATTCTGTATTATACTATAATGGTGAATACATGTCATTGTACTTTTGTCAAAACCCATAGAATATACAACACCAAAATGAACCATAATGTAAATTATGATAATGATCTGTTGGTGTAGGTTCATTGTTTGTAATAAATGTACAGCTCTGGTGCAGGATGTCAAAAGCGGAGGAGGCTAGGTGGGGGACAGGGGTATATGGGAACTCTCTGTACTTTCTGCTCAATTTCGTTGTGAACCTAAAACCACTCTAAAAAATATAGTCTATTAATTGTTTTAAATAGTTTTACCACAGGACTTTTTGGAGCCATTACTACTTGTTTTTGTTTTGGTTTGATTTGGTGCGCGCTGCACAGCTTGCAGGATCTTAGTTCCCCGACCACGGATAGACCCAGGACAACCAGGTGCAGTGAAAGCACCGAGTCCTAACCATTGGGCTGCCAGAGAATTCCTTTTGTTTTTTTTTTGGATATTATATTCTAGATCTGTCAGTACAAGAAGTGATACAACATGCAGTCTTTTCCAAACTTATTTTAGCATTTTTGTGTTACACCTTTTAGCACCCCATGTGCCTCATAAGCTGTTTGTGAAATGCTCCTCCAAGCAGCTCCAGTCTCCCCACCTCCACTACCAAGGCTCTCATTCAGCTCTTGCCCTGCTCTGGTTCCCTAGACCTGGTCTTGTTCTCTCAAACACACTGTTGTCAGCAATCCAAGAGTGAGCCGCCTGATACTCAGATCTGACCATGTCACTCCACTGCTTACAATGCTTTAGGCTAAACTCCTTCCTAGGGTGAAGGAAGCCCCCCGTGATCTGGCCCAAACCCACTTGAGTCTCACCTCTCACCACACCTTGACACACATCAGATCTTAGAAACAGAACTGCTTGTGCTTCCTGGAATGTTCTGTGCTCTTGCAGGTTTCTGTCTCTTCCTTCACATGGTACTGTCTGGATGACTCTTCTCCTCATCCCCACCTCACCCAATGGTTAACTCCTCCCTGGCCCCCAGGACTCAGCTCAAATGCCTCTGACCTTAGGAAGGCTTCCCTGACCTTCCTAGCTCCCATAAAACATGTAAAAGAGATTCTAAGTCTGTTGCCCCATGATTCTGTAAGCTTCTTGAGAGCAGGAACTACGTCAGATTCATTTTTTTCTTATCTCTTCTTCCCAAATTCTAAAAGCTGATGGCCCCCAAGGCTCAGTCCTCTTCTCTTTATGCTCTCTCCTTAGGCGATTTCATCTGGTCTCATGGCTTTACATACCATCCACACCCTGATGACTCCCAAACCAATACCTCCACCGAACGATTTCCAACGCAGACGCCTACCTTTGCTCTCATTTTTTTCCAGATCTCCACACGACTGGCTCCTTATTCAGGTCTCAGTTCCAATGTAACCTCCTTCTGACTGTTCCATCCAAATGGTCCCATACCCACCCTCTAAACTTGTCTTACCTTGTATTATTACTACCTGAAATTAAATAATTTATTTACTTGTTTATTGTCCATCTCTCCTACCACTCTACCCCATGAGATCAGGGAGTTTTGATTCAGTGCTTCATTCCAGAGCCTAAGACAGTGCTTGGCACATTGTAAGCACTTGTTAAATATTTGTTGAATGAATTAATACCTAACACATAATGGCACATAATATTTGCCAACATTTGAGTGCAAAGTGCCCTGTGTGCTAAATGCACCACAGGAATTGCTTCATTTTACTTTAAGTATTACCATGAGTCCCATTTTACACTGAGACCCAGGGGCTGAGTAGCTTGCCCAGGTCACAGAGTAAGAAGGGATATGAACACTGGCAGTCTGATCCAGAGCTGACTTTCTTAGCCACTGTGCTATCCTATCACTTACACCTGGAAGTATTCAAAAGGTGTACTCCAAGGAAGGGTGGGTGTGGGCTCAGCTTTTTATTGGCTGGGGGGTTGGGGGGGAGTGCTTCTAGTTCTGACGTTCTGGGACTCCAGCAGGTACAGAAATCCAGAGTTCCCTCCCTCTCAACTCTAGACACCCCTGGAGAAAGGCCCCCTTTCTGACTGCCTGGGCCTGGGCCTGGGCCTGGCCCCTGGGTATGTTCTGTACGAAGTTTTTTGTTTTTTAATGGAAACACAGTTGACTTACAATGTTGTGCTAATCTCTGCTGTATAGCAAAGTGACTCAGTTATATACATATATACATTCTTTTTTTATATTTTTTTCCATTATGGTTTATCCCAGGAGATCGGATATAGTTCCCTGTGCAGTAGGACCTTGTTGCTTATCCATCCTAAATGGAATAGTTTTTAAAACTACGGAAAGTGAGGCAACTGCCCCTGGAAAGCAGAAAACCTGCATGGAACTCACCCTCCTCCAAGAGGGACACAGTGAGAGCAAGCGAGCGGTCCTTCCCTGCAATATTTATTAAGGAATTTACACATACACAGGAGAAAGGCAACCAGGAGTTGTGGTTCCCAAAGATGAAATCTTTTAAGCAAAGTTTTCTTGTTTTAATTTTCAAGTGGGGTGAACGATGACTAAGAGGAAAGCTGCCCAGGCAGTCTGCCTCATACACCTGGACAGGTGGGGACACAGAGCAGCCTGGACACACCGGCAGGAGAGAGAGACTGGCAGGGCGGAGAGGGGAAAGGAGGACGGGAGCTACCAATGAGATTGTACCTTTTTTTAACTAAAGAAAAACTGGCAACAGTTTTAGGCTGTTGATACATTAACTCCTCTCTGTTGCAAACCTAAAACTAAAAAAACAAAACCAAAAATACCCAGAGCAGATGGGGAGGGAGTGGGAGGCGGAACACACACACACACACACACACACACACACACACACACACACACACAAGCAGTACACATGTTAAGCTCTGCATTCCCACGGGAGGGGTTGGTCCTCCAGCCACAAACTCAGATCCTACTGAAGGCAGTATGGAGGCAGGGAAATGGGTGTGTGTTTTTGTGGGGAACCTTCGTAGAGTCTTTGGTGTTAATAAAGCCTGGCCGAAGCAGCAAGTCCTGAAGCCTCAGATCCAGAAAGCAATTCAGGGCAAGGTAGAGTCATATTTTTGCTCGTCCTTGTAGGAGGGCGTTTGCCTCATGCCAGGGCTAGGGCCAACCTTCTCTAAGACCCAAGGAATATTTAATTTGATTTCATTACTTTCTGCATTCCCATAAGTCAGGGGAGCATGATGCCTCTGTTTTCACCCCAAATTTAAACATATGGAAATAGCTTATCAGACCTTTCTGAGTCTGATAGGAGGTTTCACCTGGTGGGAAAGGTGTGCACATTGATCCTGCAGTCTAAGTGCCTTCTGCCAACAGTTGCTAAGGTGCTGGTGCCAGGAGAGGACCAGGGCTGAGGCTGGGGAGGGAGTCAGGAGAGCTAGGGGACAGGCACGACAGAAAACAACAGAGAGGTCCGCGTGTTTGGGACGTGGCTGGGCTGGGCAGAATGCCAAGTCCCAAGTGATGGATTGAGCAGTTTCTAAACCAAACAGAGAGAGGTAGGAAAGGGGATGGGGGTGGGGGAGCAGCTGGGGAAAGAGGAAACACGGGGAGAGAGGCGGCTGAGGGGAGTGGTAGTCATCCAGGTGCGCTGTGTTTATTTCCACATCTGAGGGCTGAGAGTCTGATTTGCTGCCTGTCCGTTCCCGCCGTGCATGGACTGTCCATAGCTCAGCATGCCGTTGGCGCCACAGAAGTTCATCCCAGCCATCTGCTGGGTCATCTGAAAGGGAGAGAGGAGACTCTCAGACCAGGCTGTGGGCCTGTGGCCAATTAGAGCAACAGGCAGGGAAGGAGTCCTTCCGCCGGCGGGGAGGGGAGAGTGAGACAAAGGGGAGCTCTGTCGTGGTACATAACTGCCCTGAACCCTCTCGGATCATTCCGAGGATACCAGACCACGAAGATGAAGGACTTTCCAGAAGGGAGATGTTGTCTGAGACTAGTGCTCAGTAAGGGGAAGGGGGAATCCTGGAGCGAGTCAACATAAAAGCGGCATGGGAGGTTAGTCTCTGTTTCTTTTCCAATCTCTCATCCTGAAAAGAAGGGGCCTGTTGTGAACTGGCCGTGGCCAACCCTGAGAGTATAAAGAGAAGCCTCCACGCTGGTGCTCCTGTCTTATCTCCAGCAGAGTCATTACTGACAGTGTCAGGGAAAGAGCTCCAGCAGAGAGAAGAAGAAGAAGAAAAGGAAACTGGACGATTCAGAATGAACAAAGGAAGGCAAAAAAAAAAAAAAAAAAAAAAAACAACAAGTCTTTAGGAATTCAGTGGAAGAAAAAGAAAAACAGAGGGGAAAAAAAGGTCGGGGGAAAAGCGCCGCGGGGGAGGGGGGGCCGATTTATGAA